CTTGAAATACCAGATGCTCTATATTCTCCTAGTTCGAAGAGAAATCTTCTGAGCTTCAAGGATATAAGACAGAATGGTTTCCACATAGAAACCCAAGGTCAAGGGAACAAAGAATCCCTCCTAGTCACTAAAACCGTAGACGGCCATAAACAAATCCTCGAAACCATACCCGCGCTCTCTACTGGACTTTACCATGCTTATGTCAGTATGATTGAAGCTAATACCACTCTCAAAGCCCGGTTTACTGATTATACTATTTGGCACGACCGGCTCGGTCATCCCGGTGCAAATATGATGCGTAAACTAATTCAAAACTCTCAAGGGCATACCCTCAAAGAAAACCGAGCTTATCCTCAACACCTCATGTGCACAGCTTGTTCTCAAGGCAAATTGATCACTCGGCCTTCACCAGTTAAAATCTCTAAACAAACACTTCATTTCCTAGAAAGAATCCAGGGCGATATCTGTGGACCTATACATCCATCTTCCGGACCATTCCGGTACTTCATGGTCCTTATAGACGCATCGACCCGTTGGTCATATGTTTGTCTCTTGTCCTCTCGGAACCAAGCCTTCGCTAGGTTCTTGGCCCAAATCATCAAATTGCGGGCCCATTTCCCTGACTTCCCACTAAAGACTATCCGCCTTGACAATGCTGGTGAATTTACCTCACAAGCGTTTAATGACTACCGTATGGCCATGGGGGTAACCGTGGAACATCCTGTAGCACATGTCCATACTCAAAATGGATTGGCTGAATCATTCATTAAACGCATTCAATGGATAGCCCGACCATTACTCATGAGATCAAAGCTCCCGGCCTCAGCATGGGGACATGCAGTATTACATGCTGCTGAACTCATACGCATCCGGCCATCTAGTGAACACAAATATTCCCCATCCCAACTACTCTCGGGTCATGAGCCAGACATCTCCCATCTCAAAACATTTGGGTGTTCAGTATATGTACCCATTGCTCCACCAAAATGGGACCTCAAAGAAGGATGGGAATATATGTTGGTTTTGACTCTCCCACCATCATAAGATATCTCGAGCCAACCACTGGAGATCTCTTCAAGGCCAGATATGCGGATTGCCAATTCGATGAATCGGTATATCCCTCTTTAGGTGGTGAGACAAACAAGCTGGTCAAAGATCTTTCATGGAATCAAACATCATTAAATTGGCAAGATCCTCGGACTCTAGAATGTGATTCAGAGATCCAAAAGATTATTCATTATCAAAAGCTAGCTAATCAATTGCCAGATTCCTTTGCTGACCCGACCAAAGTAACCAAATCGTACATCCCAGCTTGTAATGCACCAGTACGAATAGCTGTCCCAACGGGACAGACCCAAGTTGCTACAGAGTCTGCACCACGTCTCAAACGGGGCAGACCTCTCGGTTCCAAAGATAAGAATCCCCGGAAATCAAAGAAAGGTGCAATAACCGAAACCGGGATTCCTGCAATATCAGACATAGCCGCGGCTGAGACTCAATCTAATGAACCCTCAATGGAAGTTCGGGACGCCGAATCTCCAGGTTCAGAAGATAACAATGAGATCTCCATCAATTACAATATGTCCGGAATACAATGGAATCGAAAAGAAGTCGACTTAAATGCACTCTTTGCATACAAAGTAGCACTTGATGTTGCGCTCACGCAAGAGGATCTAGAACCCACGTCAATAACACAGTGTACACATCGAACAGATTGGCTAAAATGGAAAGAAGCCATAAACGTGGAGTTAAAGAGTCTCAAACTCAGAAACGTGTTCGGTCCGATCATCCGGACCCCATCACACATCAAGCCAGTGGGCCACAAATGGGTCTTTGTGCGCAAAAGGAACGAACTCGGTGAAGTCGTTCGATACAAAGCACGGCTTGTAGCATAAGGATTCTCACAGAGACCCGGAATCGATTATGAGGAGACTTATTCTCCAGTGGTGGATGCAACAACATTCCGATTCCTCATAAGTCTGGCCATAAGAGAAAATCTTGATCTGCGGTTAATGGATGTTGTAACCGCATATCTCTATGGGCCCTGGACAACGAAATATATATGAGACTCCCAGATGGCATTGAACTAAAAGACAAAAATGCATCTCGAGATCAATACTGCATCAGGCTGAACAAATCCTTGTATGGACTGAAACAAAGTGGGCGTATGTGGTACAACCGCCTCAGCGATTACCTCATCAAAGAAGGCTACAAAAATGACCCCATCAGTCCATGCATCTTCATCAAGAAGTACTCAAACAAAGGATTTGTAATCATAGCAGTATACGTGGATGATCTAAACATCCTCGGAACATCTGGTGAGATCTCCCAAACAGTCGACTGCTTAAAAGCAGAATTCGAAATGAAAGACCTAGGCAAAACAAAGTACTGTTTGGGATTACAACTTGAGTACATCAAGGAGGATCCTTGTGCATCAATCGGCTTATATCGAAAAGGTACTCAAGCGATTTAATATGGACCAAGCTCACCCATTGACCAGCCCAATGGTAGTTAGAAGCTTAAGTGATGACCCTCTTGGTCCCAAAAAGGATGATGAAGAAATCCTTGGTCCTGAAAAGCCATACCTCAATGCTGTAGGAGCGTTAATGTACCTGGCTAGTCACACTAGAGCAGACATATGTTTCGCCGTGAACCTCCTCGCTCGATATAGTTCATCTCCAACTCAGAGGCACTGGAACGGTATAAAACATCTCCTAAGATACCTTCGAGGTACTCAAGACTTAGGACTCTTCTATACTAACCAAAATAAAGATGGGTTAGTCGGCTTCGCCGATGCAGGATATCTATCAGATCCGCACACTGCCAAGTCTCAAACTGGCTACGTTTTTACGCATGGAGGAACAGCCATCTCTTGGAGATCAATGAAGCAGACACTCACTGCCACTTCATCAAACCATGCTGAAATCCTAGCCATTCATGAGGCTAGTAGGGAATGCGTCTGGCTGCGCTCCATGACTCAGCACATCCGCAGAGATTGTGGTATGGACGAAGACACACAGCCCACGGTGATGTATGAAGACAACGCGGCATGCATAGCTCAGCTCAAGGAAGGATATATCAAAGGAGATCGGACGAAGCACATTCTACCGAAGTTCTTCTCAACCTCAGATTGGCAGAAGGACGGCACTCTCAGCGTTCAGCAGGTCCGATCCAGTGAGAATTCAGCTGACCTCTTCACCAAATCATTGCCTACTTCAACACACCGGAAGCTCGTCAAACAGATAGGAATGTATAGACTTAGAGATCTGCAGTGATGCTACAATCAGGGGGAGTAATGCGTGTTGTACTCTTTTTCCTTCACCATGGTTTTGTCCCACTGGGTTTTTCCTGGTAAGGTTTTAATGAGGCAACATTCCCCAGCGCATTATCGAGATCCCGATTGAGTAGCTGACCCGGTTCACTCGTCCAAGGGGGAGTGTTATAACATATATCATATATGGACTCTTATACCGGCCCATTAGGTCCATCAGGGCATTGTACTTAACCTAGATTCCCTATGTACTCTATATATACATTCCAGTGATTAATAAAGTTTCTAAGTTTTCACAACACCTCTCAATTACAAAATGACTCACTAGAAACATTTTACCTTATATTATGTTACTCTGGTTGCGGATCATAACATTTTCCACCACTAAAAAAGAAAAGAAATTCGTACAGAATTCACATTAATCATGAAACAATTCTGGTCTTCTGGATAATCACAATTGATAGTATTCTAATCGTTTTCTCTTTAACAACTTTCTTTTTTGTTTTTTGACAAAGAATTTCCTTTTTAACCACCACAATATTCTGTAACCGATCGGATCCCAATATTCTTTTGGCTTCCATATGTAGAAGTTTACTTAATTATTAACAAAACTAGGAATTAACCCGTGCACTGTGTGGTGGTAATGTTTTTTAAATTGTTTTTAAATTTAAATTTAATTTTTAGTTAAATGAAAATTAATGATAAAAATCCTTTACCAAAAAATATAAATAAAGAAAATTAGTGACAATTAGATATCAATATATATATAAATATCACACAATCCATATTTACTTGTATATATATGCATCGAATAAATATATATATATATATATATATATCCATCGAATATGATTTTGAGGTAGTTTTGTTATGCAGTTTAATTATTACTAATTTTTTAATGTGTGTGTGATATTATGTTAATATATATATATATACATATACTTATATACAAACTAACATGGATTAGAATCTAAATATATATATTCACAAAATAAAAATTTAATTGTGAAAATTTTATAAGAGATCAGACAATCAATTTTAGTTAATAAATTCTATAATATGTGTTAATTATATATATATATATATATATATATATATATATATAGGATTGTTAAAGTGAACAAACCCATCTACTTAATCTATTTTGTAATTTATTAAAATATTTTTTCGACTAACTCGTAAAAAATACAATTTAAAATTTGAAAACATATTTTTAAATTTTTTTATTAAAAAAATTGAATTAATTTTCAAAAATGATACAAATTAACTATGAAAATACAAATTAAAAATATTACAAAAATATAAATAGATTTTTTCATATATATATATATATATATATAGATTGATTATTATTTAAATAATAGAATATATTTTTAATAAGTACAAAAACTAAATATATTTTTAATTTTTATTCATATATATTCAAAAAAAATCTGTGAGCTTTATATATAACTATCTTTTACGGAAGAATATTTAATTAAATTTTTTATATTTGTAAAATTTATATATGTAATATTTTATAACAAAAGATTTATTTATGTATTATTTAATAAATTCTTATTTATTTATGTAAAATATTTTATAATATTTTATAAATAAAAATTTTATGTAAATATTTACTCAAATAATAATATAAAAATGTATTTTACAATATAAAAATATAAATAAAGGCGACCGACCGTTTCACCGCTCCTTTAGATATCCCACATATAGTTTTTCTTCTGAATACATAAACAAATCGAGAAAAGACATTACCGGAAGCTGAAGACGAACCAACACATCAAATCTTCATCTTCTACAATCGTCTCCATCTATGGATACAATCGTACACTCTTTCTACATATACTACTACCATCTGTAATTTCAAAGCTTCAAATTCAGAATGATCATCATAGTTGACACGAGCTTCTTGTTTCAAACCAGGTTCCCATTTTTTATTTTTTATTTTTTATTTTTAGAAAATTTTGATCTTAGTATTTGGAATTGTGGTGATTCTTAATGTTTTGTTTCTCTTGTCTTCTTATTTAAATTTGGATTTCAGATTTTAGATGATTGGGAGACTAACATGATGATGAGTAGTAGCAGTAGCAGTAGCAGTAGTAGTTATTCCGGAGTTAGAAAAACTATTAGTGAGGTATCAAAGGTTGGTGATCTTTTTCTTCTTGGTGTTCGTAAATTGTTAGCTTAACAAACGATAAAATGTGAAGAGATTTTATGTTTCTGCTGTGATCTTGAAAAAATAAATACTCCTAAGGTGTTACAATCAAATGCAATCTTCTTCAATTTCTTCCGGATTAAACTAAACAATTAATTTGGTTCTGAGATTGTTGGATATCTAGAAATTAAGATCCGTTATTATATTGTGAAATTGATACGTTTCATGATCTGATTGATGCAGGTGAAGAAATTGAAAGGTGGTGAAAAATGTGTTGTAAACCAAAAGGCGTTAAACAGAGAGAGGATCATTGCTCTGCAACAAGATGTAATGTTTTTTGACTTTTGTTTTCTTGGATTCAAGCTATACATTATAGAGCTATTAAGAGTGGATGTTATTCTTGTTTAAAGGTTGAAAAGCTAAGGAAGAAGCTTAGACTTGAAGAGAACATTCACCAAGCAATGGAAAGAGCCTTTAATAGACCGCTTGGAACACTTCCTCGTCTTCCTCCATTTCTCCCTCCACCGGTTAATAGCTAAGAAAAAAAAATATAGCTCTCTCAATTTTCTTAAAGTGAGATATTGATGTTGGTTATAATTGTAGATTTTGGAGCTACTTGCGGAAGTGGCTGTTCTTGAAGAAGAAATTGTTCGGTTAGAAGAACATATTGTACATTTTAAGCAGGGATTGTATGAAGAAGCAGCGTTTACATCTTCGTCGAAAACAAACTTAGAATGCTCGGCTGTTTTGCCTAAGTCCAAGTCAGCTTCCACTAATGCTAGAGAACCTGTATCACCTCTATCGGGGGAACTGGTATCTGTTTCAGGTGAGCTTTTTTAGGTTCAAGTCAGGGAAATTTTGAATGACTTGGTGTGGCCTAGACTGATTATATGCTTGTGTTCTCTTTGTAGAGTATCCAAGGGGTAAAAATAACAAGTTAAGTGCTAATTCTACGATCATGCGGTTGAAGAAAATACATTTTATGTTGAAATAAGCTTGAAGATAACTTAGTCATCAAGATATTAGGAAAGGAAATATTCTTAGGAGTTATCTAAGAATAGGAAATATATAATTCTATTAGGATTAGGAGTTATCTAATCTACTCACTATATAAGAGTTGCCAAAGTTGTGGTAAACCTTATGAGGTTGAGAGCTTTAGTTTTTAAGTTAGTTTTCTAAAGCAATAAGGGTCCAACTGGTGACCACAATTGAGGAAAGGAATGATTGGGAATATGGTATTCTTCTTCATTCCTAATTTTTTTTATCAGTTAGATGGAATATCTGTTACACATAATTCCTTTTCATTCCTTTTTATATGAGGAATTATAGAACAAATGTATTCCTCATCAAATTTGATAGGGAATAGAAAGAAAATAGTAAAAATTGGTAAAAATATATTGTTTTGTAAATATTTTAAAGTAAATTTATAGAAAATTGACATTTGACGTGAATCTTCCACACCTCGTCTTCTTCTACTTCTATATATGTGAGAGAACTTTTTTTCTTTCTCTAACCTAATACATCGACAAAGAAAGAAGAAAAGGTACATAATTTTAAAATAAGCTTATAGCAAAGAGCATGTGTTTAATGATGCTTGAAAATAACACATGTATCATATGAATTTGTTATAGGTATCATGTCAAGTTCAAGAAACAATAGTGGGACACGTCGCGGCGGACGTCAACCAAATGATGAGGCAAGAACAACTCGTGAAGGCCAGGTACTTGTTTTTAGATATCTTGTATTCTGCAAATTTATTGATTTAATAATATGAAACATATCAATTAACTGTTACAAAATATATACGTTAGTATGCTTGGAAGGATAAAAATTGTCAAGTTATGCTTGAACTTGTCATTGAGGAGTTAAAAGCAGATGATTATCGTAGTAGAATGCCAGATGTTGCTGCTAGAAGAAGAATTGAAAACAAATATTTTGAGTTGATGGGAGACAAGATTTCATGGGATCCAGAGATAAATAACAAAACTGGTTACTTGCGTAAGCTATGGGTTATTAATGGTCAGTTGATAAACCGCACTGGTGTTGCGGTTAATCCATCTACTGGACAAATAGATATGACGAAAATGTGGTGGACTGATCGGATTGCGGTAATTCTCTATCCATGTCTTTTTGATTATATAGGTTCTTGCTAACATATTTTTCTTGTGACTAATTTTTTATTACTATTCGCAGGAATATGGTAATAAAGGAAAATTTGTTCGTGTATTGCAAAAAAAGCCTATGCCGTTCAAAGACTTGTTGGACCAAATTTTTGGTGAACATGACGTTGATCAAGATGAACGGTATTCTCCCCATATGCTTAGCCAAAATCTCCTGCAGATTCAACCTACTTTACCCAGCAGTGATGGCATAATAATGGACCAGCAAGAAGTTCAAATTTCTGAACCAACTATGGCTGTGGCTAATGATCACGGAGCCCAACCGTCAATTCGAAACACGCCAGCCCGTTGTCCTCCAAGAAGAAGAGCTAACTTTGAAAAGCAGGTCCAGAGTGAGTTTCAACGTGTAATAGATACTCGTCAAGAGTTTTTGGAAGAATTACGCTCGCGAAAAGTTCAAAAGCTAACCTACGGTGATGCAACAGCTGTTCTAGAAAAACTTCCAATTGAACAACTTGGAATATTTTGGTGGGCAGCAAATAAGTTATTGAAGAGCGATGAGGATGTTCGTGAAGCCTTCATGAAATTAGAGAGTGAAGAAATTAAGATCAGATATCTGGAGAGTTTACTTGGGACTGATAGATACGGGCATCCATGCAATTTTGTCAATCTGACAAGTCCAAATCTCTTTCAAAATATTGGAATGATTGGAAGTAGTTCTATGGGGACTGAAATTGGTAGAACTGAATTCACAAAGTTGCTTGGGATACAATCCTCTGGATTAGAAGAATCAACAAAACAAGTACCAAATATCGTCAATATACTTGATGATGGAATGGATGGTGACAAGCTAGCTTGAGTGTTATGGGATTTTTTTATTTGTTAGGTCTTTAATTTAAGTACTTTGGAGTTTTGGTGTTTGCTCTAGTGTTTCCTAGATTTTTTTAATAATATTTACGTGCTTTAGAATTTTGGTGTTTTTTACTTCTACTTAAATTAATACAAGCTTGAAGTTATTTTCTACTTAAATTAATAATACTATGCATTCTAAAATTTTGCAGGAACTTCATATTATTGAATTAAGGTTACGTGGAGTTGAAAATCTAGATGAGGATGAGCTATCAGAGTTAATGTTATTGGAAGAAGATGAAATTTTTCAAAGGTACATACATCCTATATTAGAGTACTACCAAAAGATTTTTTTTAAGAAGCCAATGAACGTAGAGTGGGGAAATGGTTGGAAAATCATTCGGGGGCAAATCTACAACAACGAAAATTCTTGTCGTACTCTTATTCGCATGAGCTCAGAAGCATTCACCCGTTTATGTGAAGTTCTTCAGCAAAAGTATGGATTACAAGAGTCACATAATATGAAAGTCGATGAGAGTGTTGCAATATTCTTGATTCTTTGTGGCCAAAATGACACTCAGTATGACATCAGTTTAAGATTTGGCCATGCCCAAGAAACTATATATAGAAAATTCCATTGTGTTCTTGGGGCAATGGTACCATTGGCTGTTGACTATTTACGGCCAAGAACAGCTTATGAGTTAGAAGCAATATCCAATAGTTTAGAAGGAGATAGACGGTATTGGCCTTATTTCAGTGGATGTATCGGGGCTCTTGATGGGATACATATACCTGTTATGGTGACTCCAGGTCGAGATACATTACGGTTTGTGAACCGAAAAAGAACAGCAAGTCTTAACGTCCTAGGAATTTGTGATCACGATATGCTTTTTACGTATTGTTTTGTTGGAATGGCTGGATCAACACATGACTCACGAGTGCTGGAAACCGCTATACGAGATGATCCAATGTTTCCTAAACCTCCTGACAGAAAATATTATCTTGTAGATTCTGGCTATGCAAATAGACGTGGATATTTAGCTCCATATCGGAAAGAAAAAAAAGATGGTACTCGATATCATCTTCAAGATTTTATAAATAAGGAGCCTCCAAAAAATAATAAGGAAATGTTCAATAGATGGCATGCATCATTGCATTCAGTTATTGAACGAACTTTTGGTGTATGGAAGAAAAAGTGGAGGGTTATTAGAGAATTTCCAAGGTATAATATTTCGACGCAAAGAAATGTTATATTTGCAACAATGGGACTTCATAATTTTATTCGGTGGAACAAGATTAAAGATTTTGATTTTGAAGAAGCAGAAATGGGCGATGGTATGCATCAAAATGAGAACAATCTTTCAGATGATGAAGATGATGGACGAACAAATGAAGAAACATCAACAGAGGTTTATATGAAAATTGTTCGAGATCATATTGCCCAAGAATTGTGGTCCAACAAAAGACCTGCTTCTCGTCGTCGGTTATAGGTTTGTCTACTATTACTTTAACGTACACGTTATTTGATATATTGTCAATTCTCTATAAAAAAAACTTAATGCTAAGTTATTAGTTGGATGCTATTTTATGGATCAATAATGCAGATTCTTATGTTGTAGTTATTGAACGCATTGTGGAAAGAAAGGAGACGCTAAAGCCGTAGACAATCGACTCTATCAAGAAAAACATTTTTTCTTTTAAGTTATTAATTGTTGAAGATTTATTATTTTAAAATATTCATTCCTGTCTTTGGTTACCATTTATTGTGACAATTTGTTCCATTCTTTCTCTGTATTGATTCCTTTTAAATTTTTCCATATGATTCCTTTTATTTTTTTTCCTTATTATTCCTCTTATTCCTGATATTGTCACCAGTTGGACCCTAAGAGAATTATTCTTAATTACTTGAGTTCTTAATTCCTTAATCGATTACTACAAACTAGATTTGGTATCAGAGCTTAACAAAACCTAATCTAGCCGACAAACAAAGACGAAGATCATCCGATACAATATCTTGGGGGATATTGTAGATGTGATGGAAAAACCCAAGGAAGGAGGAGTATTTTCTTCGACGATTCAATGTCCACTGCTAAACAACACCAATTACACTGTATGGGCTAGACGAATGAGAGTCTGCCTCAAAGTAAACAAAGTTCTGGAAAACTATAGAGACAGGATCCACAGATGAAGAAAAGAACAATGTTGCGACAGCTCTCTTGTTTCAATCAATACCCGAGACACTAGTTCTACAGGTCGGTGAACTACAAACAGCGAAGAAGGTCTGGGAATCTATCAGGACGAGATACGTAGGAGCAGAAAGAGTAAAAAATGCTTAATTACAAACACTGATGACGGAGTTCGACCGGTTGAAGATGAAAGACTCCGAAAACATCGATGACTTCTTAGGCAAGCTATCGTAGATCTCGTCGAAATCAACGGCCCTTGGAGTAAACATTGAAGATTCTAAGCTAGTGAAGAAGTTCCTTAAGAGCCTACCTCGAAAATACATCCATATTGTGGCCTCCTTAGAACAAGTCTTGGACCTTAATAACACAAGCTTCGAAGATATTATAGGGAGGTTAAAGGCCTATGAGGAAAGGATCTTTGAGGACGATGAAGCACACGAAGATTCAACTAAACTCATGTATGCAAACTCAGAAGATCAAAAGGGCAGTCAAACCGCGATTACAATGGTAATTGGAATAATTGGAGAGGTCAAGGTCGCGGAGGACGACGAGGCAGGGGTCGAGGAAGAGGTTACGGAAGGAGAGACACATCATCAATCACGTGTTACCGATGTGATAAAGTTGTCCATTATGCCTCAGACTGCCCCGATCGACTTCTTAAACTTCAGGAAGCACAAGAATCTTCTTCAGCAAGTGAAACTAAAAGGTTGTAAAGCAATAAAAACTAAACGTTGGGCTTAAGGTTGTTTGCAGGGACTCATGAGATTTGATGGTACTTCTATAATTAGTCAACTGTTGTCATCACTCTAATCAACCAATCGATAAAGGTAATCTACTAGGGAGTTTCTGGAATTAGAATAGACACTGGTATGATTAGCCAATTGTTTTCATCCTAACCAACTAATCATTCAATCTTGACTAGTAGCTTTCGTCTCTGGCCGCGAGTGAGATAATGCATTAATTAAACAGAATTCATCTATGCTCACGATACTCTATAGATAGCTTTTGTCTCCTATAGTAATTTCGCTCGTTCGCTTCTAGGTAAGGTAAATCGATACAACATTGTCGTGGCTCCAATTAAACCTATGATCAGCTTCTAAGTAGCCAGAAAAGAAACATGTATTAAGAATAAGAATGAACAAAAGACTCCTAGAAGATTATGAATCCTAAATCTAACAATTCATCAAATCAAGACATGAAATTCTCTTTGAAAAATCTCTTTAAACCTAACTGGAAAACTACTCAGACATAACTGATTTCAACATCATAAAAGTATTTAAGTTTGCTGGATATTGAAATAAAGAAAATGAAAGAACAAAAAACAGTGGTGAAGATGAAGATCCGTTGGTGTCCTTTTCGGTGTCTCCTCCTCGAATTCTGCAACTCTCTAAGACTTATGATAAAATCGGTCACACCCTCTTTGAATGACCTAAAAGAGGTATATATAGTCTTTGGAGTATTTGAAAACGTCTTGGGTTTGCAGAATAAATGATGGGAATGACTTGGGCTTGAAAATGGGTTTCTAAGGCTTGGTAATAGGTCCACCACGGTTGCTGAAGTCGCACCCACGGAGAAACATTCCTGTCGCGGCTGAGAGCAATCTCACCCTCAAGGCTGTGTTTATATACTTTTAGTGCACTGGGAATATCTGGAGATCTAACCGTTGGATTGCATCCATTCGAATTGCATTCGAAAGCTGGTTGTTTTCTCTATCATGTGTCTAATTTTGGGGATGATCGGACGGTGATAAAATCTTTATTCGTTTCCAAACTTCTGACAATCTGAATTTATCCAAAATATATTCTGAAAACTCTTTTAAAATTTTAAACATGGAAATCACTTAAAAATTATTTTTTAAAAAATTAGAACACCTGCATAAAATTTTAAAATAAGTTATAAAATTGGTTAAAATATGGTGTTATCACTAGAGTGTGATCTTTGCTACACGCAGACATCATAAATAATTTTATAATTATATTTTACTGTCTAATGTTATTTTTTTTCTTGGTCTCGTAACTAATTGAAATGTCTGTCATATATATGTAGTCGGTCTGTTTTTATTTTGTTTCTTAAATTCATAATCATCTATGTATTTGCTTAGCGGTTCATATATATGTTTACCTTTTTAATGATCAGTCTTATGCAATTAGTTGGTACTGGCATCTTGAAGTTTTTGTTGTATGATTTTTTTTTGTTTCATGTAACTTTTTGTTAAAAGCCATATAGATATGTTTCTAATTTCTTTGATATCAACAAATTTAGGATTTATTTGACCTTTCTTTTGATCTCTTCTCATTCATAGCCTTGATCTTGTTGGTGACCGTCTGATAGTATTAGTTATAATACTTTCTTGTATGGTTGTCCTTTTTTGGGATAGAGAACTTCTGTATTCTATTGACTTCATGTATCAAAACCGTATTCCATCTTTTTGTGTTATAGTTTACTTGTTCTTATTTGTTATTCTTCAGTTGTTTGTTTTTTTAAACATATTATTTTAGTTTTAGCTTCATAACTTTTTTTTACTATTATGCATTTTTTATAATCTTAATAACATTTTTCATCCATTTTTTCAAGTTTTTTCTTTTAAATCCTCACATAACAATATTATTGAATTTTCTCAGTTTATCATTTTCATATTTTGTTATTACATATATTTCATTAAATTCATCATTCCAACTAGTATCTTTAAAATTTTGTATATTTGTTTGTTGCCATATTCTCTTTTTTTTGTCTTTTCTATCATTTTTTCTTTAATTTTGATCTTCTCTTATCTTCTTGATTATTTATAGAATTTTCTTTGTGTGTTGTAGTTTTATGATTTTTTTTTCGTATTCTTCAGTTTCTTGAAATTTTTTTGAACTATTATTTTGAAGCGTCCAACATGTATAAATCATATTAATTTTGTCATTCAAATCTATAAATTTGTTGTGAAAACTTAGAAACTTTATTAATCACTGGAATGTATATATAGAGTACATAGGGAATCTAGGTTAAGTACAATGCCCTGATGGGCCTAATGGGCCGGTATAAGAGTCCATATATGATATGTGTTATAACACTCCCCCTTGGACGAGTGAACCGGGTCAGCTACTCAATCGAGATCTCGATAATGCGATGGGGAATGTTGCCTCATTAAAACCTTACCAGGAAAAACCCAGTGGGACAAAACCATGGTGAAGGAAAAAGAGTACAACACGCATTACTCCCCCTGATTGTAGCATCACTGCAGATCTCTAAGTCTATACATTCCTATCTGTTTGACGAGCTTCCGGTGTGTTGAAGTAGACAATGATTTGGTGAAGAGGTCAGCTGAATTCTCACTGGATCGGACCTGCTGAACGCTGAGAGTGCCGTCCTTCTGCCAGTCTGAGGTTGAGAAGAACTTCGGTAGAATGTGCTTCGTCCGATCTCCTTTGATATATCCTTCCTTGAGCTGAGCTATGCATGCCGCGTTGTCTTCATACATCACCGTGGGCTGTGTGTCTTCGTCCATACCACAATCTCTGCGGATGTGCTGAGTCATGGAGTGCAGCCAGACGCATTCCCTACTAGCCTCATGAATGGCTAGGATTTCAGCATGGTTTGATGAAGTGGCAGTGAGTGTCTGCTTCATTGATCTCCAAGAGATGGCTGTTCCTCCATGCGTAAAAACGTAGCCAGTTTGAGACTTGGCAGTGTGCGGATCTGATAGATATCCTGCATCGGCGAAGCCGACTAACCCATCTTTATTTTGGTTAGTATAGAAGAGTCCTAAGTCTTGAGTACCTCGAAGGTATCTTAGGAGATGTTTTATACCGTTCCAGTGCCTCTGAGTTGGAGATGAACTATATCGAGCGAGGAGGTTCACGGCGAAACATATGTCTGCTCTAGTGTGACTAGCCAGGTACATTAACGCTCCTACAGCATTGAGGTATGGCTTTTCAGGACCAAGGATTTCTTCATCATCCTTTTTGGGACCAAGAGGGTCATCACTTAAGCTTCTAACTACCATTGGGCTGGTCAATGGGTGAGCTTGGTCCATATTAAATCGCTTGAGTACCTTTTCGATATAAGCCGATTGATGCACAAGGATTCCTCCTTTGATGTACTCAAGTTGTAATCCCAAACAGTACTTTGTTTTGCCTAGGTCTTTCATTTCGAATTCTGCTTTTAAGCAGTCGACTGTTTGGGAGATCTCACCAGATGTTCCGAGGATGTTTAGATCATCCACGTATACTGCTATGATTACAAATCCTTTGTTTGAGTACTTCTTGATGAAGATGCATGGACTGATGGGGTCATTTTTGTAGCCTTCTTTGATGAGGTAATCGCTGAGGCGGTTGTACCACATACGCCCACTTTGTTTCAGTCCATACAAGGATTTGTTCAGCCTGATGCAGTATTGATCTCGAGATGCATTTTTGTCTTTTAGTTCAATGCCATCTGGGAGTCTCATATATATTTCGTTGTCCAGGGCCCATAGAGATATGCGGTTACAACATCCATTAACCGCAGATCAAGATTTTCTCTTATGGCCAGACTTATGAGGAATCGGAATGTTGTTGCATCCACCACTGGAGAATAAGTCTCCTCATAATCGATTCCGGGTCTCTGTGAGAATCCTTATGCTACAAGCCGTGCTTTGTATCGAACGACTTCACCGAGTTCGTTCCTTTTGCGCACAAAGACCCATTTGTGGCCCACTGGCTTGATGTGTGATGGGGTCCGGATGATCGGACCGAACACGTTTCTGAGTTTGAGACTCTTTAACTCCACGTTTATGGCTTCTTTCCATTTTAGCCAATCTGTTCGATGTGTACACTGTGTTATTGACGTGGGTTCTAGATCCTCTTGCGTGAGCGCAACATCAAGTGCTACTTTGTATGCAAAGAGTGCATTTAAGTCGACTTCTTTTCGATTCCATTGTATTCCGGACATATTGTAATTGATGGAGATCTCATTGTTATCTTCTGAACCTGGAGATTCGGCGTCCCGAACTTCCATTGAGGGTTCATTAGATTGAGTCTCAGCCACGGCTATGTCTGATATTGCAGGAATCTCGGTTTCGGTTATTGCACCTTTCTTTGATTTCCGGGGATTCTTATCTTTGGAACCGAGAGGTCTGCCCCGTTTGAGAGGTGGTGCAGACTCTGTAGCAACTTGGGTCTGTCCCGTTGGGACAGCTATTCGTACTGGTGCATTACAAGCTGGGATGTACGATTTGGTTACTTTGGTCGGGTCAGCAAAGGAATCTGGCAATTGATTAGCTAGCTTTTGATAATGAATAATCTTTTGGATCTTTGAATCACATTCTAGAGTCCGAGGATCTTGCCAATTTAATGATGTTTGATTCCATGAAAGATCTTTGACCAGCTTGTTTGTCTCACCACCTAAAGAGGGATATACCGATTCATCGAATTGGCAATCCGCATATCTGGCCTTGAAGAGATCTCCAGTGGTTGGCTCGAGATATCTTATGATGGTGGGAGAGTCAAAACCAACATATATTCCCATCCTTCTTTGAGGTCCCATTTTGGTTCGATGTGGTGGAGCAATGGGTACATATACTGAACACCCAAATGTTTTGAGATGGGAGATGTCTGGCTCATGACCCGAGAGTAGTTGGGATGGGGAATATTTGTGTTCACTAGATGGCCGGATGCGTATGAGTTCAGCAGCATGTAATACTGCATATCCCCATGCTGAGGCCGGGAGCTTTGATCTCAT